GTTTTGGATCTCTCCTCACCCAAAGAATGAGATATGATCAGAGACCATAAAATATACTCAACAACAAAAGTTCCTGTGACACCAATAATTTAGTGTATTTTTCAAACAAGTAAAGTTTGGTTTTCAACATTGTAGTACATGTAAGGAATCAAGTCACAAAAACGCATCTGCTACGGAATAGCATGCATTCCATGCAAAAGTTGACTTTTATGCAAGCCCCATGCATTTCACTCCCCAAGAATGGGTATAAAAACATGTGCGTTAACGGGATTCCATATGCATTGTTTAGCATCGTCCTGACAACAACCACTCAGAAAAACAACAAAATTACGCAATTATTCAACATTATGAAATGCAACGCCTGTCCGAAAATGAGCGTCTGCGAGCCATTGGTATGCTTGAAGCAGGATCGAGTCAACGTGATGTTGCAAGACAATTTAACGTCCATAGAAACACCATTTAGTGTTTATGGCAACGTTGGCAACAGACGAATGCAGTCAGAGACCGTCCTCAGAGTGGCAGGCCACACGTAACCAATAATCTACAAGACAACTTGTAAATCGATTCCAGCCAGCAACAGTGACAGCAAGAAGCATCCCTTGCCTTCGACGAATTTCTTCACAAACCGTACGTCGTCGCCTCAGATGTGCAGGGATTGTCGCCAGAAGACCCGCCAGACGTCCCATTTTGACAGGAAACCACCGTCAAGCACGTCTAGAGTGGTGCAGACAGCGTCTCTGCTGGACGGCCATGCAGTGGGGACAAGTTATTTTCACTGACGAGTCTCGTTTTCACCTCAGCCACAGCCATGGACGGATTCGAGTGTACCGACGTCGAGGTGAACGTTACGTCAATCAATGTGTCATAGAAGAAGATCGGTTCGGGGGCGGCAGCGTTATGGTATGGGGTGGGATATTACAGCAAGACAGAGGACCCGTTTGATAGTGGTAGAGGGAAATCTCAATGGACAGCGCTACCGCGACGAGATCATCGGCCCTGTTGTTCTACCGTTTTTGCGTCGCCATGGCCCAGGCATTACCTTTCAACATGACAACGCCCGGCCTCGTATTGCTCGACTTGTTCAGGATTCCCTTCAACAAAACAACGCGAATGTCATCCTCTGGCCGGCTCGCTCCCCTGATCTCTCACCAATCGAGCGCATGTTGGATGAGATGGATCGGCGCCTTCGACGTCAACCACATGTTCCACAGACACTCCAGGAACTTCGAAACATGCTCCAGCAAATATGGACAGATATCCCACAGGACTTTGTGCGACGCCTGGTCCATTCCATGAGACGAAGATGTGTTGCTTGCATCGCAACCAGAGGTGGACACACACACTATTAATTTGTAAATTGACATTTTGGCATGCTCATGTTTTTTTTCTATGAAATCACGCATTTTCTGAATTCAGTATGGCAAATTAAACCATTTTTAAACCAAACTATATGATACGGAAGCGTAGTAGGGCCATAGTGATTTTGTTTTGCTAATTATCTCCTACGTACTACTGAGTATCTCCTACGTAGGACTAAGTATCTCCTACCTAGGACTTAGTATCTCCTACGTAGGACTAAGTATCTCCTACCTAGGACTTACTATCTCCTACGTAGGGCTTACTATCTCCTATGTAGGAGATAGTAAGTCCTATGTAGGAGATAGTTATTCTAGTCCATAGTGTCCCCCCGTAGGAGATACTAAGTCCTACGTAGGAGATAGTAATTCTAGGTCATACTGGGGGCACGGGTGGCCCAGTCGTATTAAGCTGACTGGAATACTGTTGAAAGCGGCGTTAAGCCCAACTCACTCACTCACTCTAGGCCATACTAAGTCCTACGTAGGAGATACTAAGCCCTACGTAGGAGATACTAAGTCCTACGTGGGAGATGGTAAGTCTTCCGTAGGAGATAGTAAGTCCTATCGTAGGAGATACTAACTGCTACGTAGGAGATACTTAGACACACAAAAATTTCACCGTGGCCCCACTACGCTTCCGTAGTATGAATCTACGTACAGCATGACATGTTCATTTTACTATCCTGCCTGGTAGATTGCACGCAGCAGCGGTGGAGAGAAGGGCTGTCACATTTCAGCTTCGGCGCCAAGACCTGATAACATTGCTCAGTGTCACGCTTGCCTTTTTTAGACAAGGAGGTGATTATGAGCCCGAGTATTAGATATATATTGGCTTTGTAACCTTAATGTTGTTTGTTCATGACGTCATAATAATGGACTTTACAGCATGTACTCAATGAAGAATCTCTCGGTGACGCTCCGGTTCAATTAAACGAAGCGGTTAATGTAATATTGTTAGATTAAATAATTTTCTTACAAAAACACTCAGTGTAGTATGCTTATGAGAAACAGAGATACATATATGAAGAAAATAAAGCGACAAAACACTTTCCATAAATTCATTTACAAGAAATCTCTAACCAAAGCAGAGTCGATTGTACGATTCCGACTATGTCATGAGCATGTGTATGAATCATTATCAAAAAGCGATGATACCAGGTGTTCGCGAAAAGGTGAGCGTATCCTGCCCCACCGGTGGTACCCGTCACAAACACATGCAAAAGCAAGCAAACACGGGAACATATGGTAGCCCATAAGTTAAAATAGGGAATTGCATCGGACATCATTTTTGGCAGTGATGCGTCTAGGTTGGAAATGCCCTCCACATATCTACCAGAAAACGTTTTTGAAAGCTTTACTGGAACCTTGAATGTTGTCTTTTGAAACTCAAAAGTTGTGAAATTTAGACACCAAAAGCTGGAGCTGCTGGGACATTACTCGACACAAAGGGAAAGTTGAAGGCATCCCTTTTGTCATACAGTCTTGCATAGAGTTTTTTGTCACTGAATCTTTATGCATGAATGAAACACCTTACCGCCTTTTCATTCTCTACGACCTTCACCTCTGCCCCCAAGGCAGATAATCCCAAACGCGATATTATTTCAAACCACCAGAAATTAAATAAAACACGCTTTTCCCTATGTGAAATTTGAAATTTACTACAATATGTATTGCGTTTCGCTACGCTACATCACCTCCCGATGTATAGTGATAACTCTACTGAGAAACCTGTGCCCAGTGACAATCCACCAAATGACAAAAGTGACAAATCTGACAACGCTCCAAACACTGAAGATTTGAAGTTGAGAAAATTCTCAAAAAGAAATACAAGAACAATGAGTAGTTGCATATGGTAAAATGGTTAGGATACGAATCTAGGGACAATTCCTGGGTTCCATTTTCAGACCTGTCAGAGAGTTGTCAGCAATATATAGATGACAATCATAACAAAATTCCTAAGGATAAAAAAATGCATGGAGGCAGTGACATTCTGTGACACTTTCCCTAAATACATTGTGCCTATTCTGACCTACTGTGACTGTATTCTCTGTGTATTAGGAAACGGATACTATGGCAAATTTTGATTCATGCACGTTTGGATATTGTTCTATTGTCATTATTTTTTTTTTAAAAAGAAGAAGAAAATGTTTGCATGATGTTTAATATTAGATATCTACAATATTCATTGTCTAGTTTGTTTTAGACCCAAGTTCTTGGTCTTTGCATAAGTGATGTGTTCAGTTAGTAGTATTCATCACAAGCCTAAATTGGATTAGGAGACGTCCTGATCCTGTTATTACCAACAACATATTTCACTAATGGTTGCCAAATGTAATGAAGCCAATATAATTTGTCAAGAAATGAGTACTGGAGACTGGATTCACCCCTTAACCATAATAACAATGATTGTTTATTACACGGTACAGGGATATCCAGTAACACTTAACCTCAACATTTTATTTAATGTAATTTCTTATTCTTCAGATGTAGTCATATTTTATTTTTGTCATAGTTTTTGTGCATTGTTGTTAGAACTTCAATGAATTTATCATGACGTCAGTATGAAAATTGCTATCTTAAACTTTTACTGTATGCACTTATTTCGCAGGGTTAACTACAAGTTTGTATCCATGTATACTGAGTGGTAGCAACTTGTTTGATGAAGGTTTCTTCACTGAACTATCTCTTATCTCAAATCTTGTCATAGTGTCCCTCCCTCACATTCACGCTACTGAAATTTAATACTGGCCATGTCAGATTCCAGTCGGCTGTTAACGGAGACTGGCGCGGCTGCAGCCAATATCTTTTCTAAATTCCCTCTTTACAGTATTAACAGTTATTTTTATACATTTGTATTCACTGAAGGAATCTGTGTTAATGTTTCGTGTTCATATTATACCATTTTGCCTAGCCGTCATGTTAAGTCCTATTCGAATGGTACTCATGTTTTAACCGGGGAGTGATGTGGCGTAGCAAAGCTATGTACACATTGTTGTAAATTTCACATAGGGAGAAACATATTATATATATTTTCTGGTGGTTTGAAATGAAAAGACGTTCGGGATTATCTGCCCTTCGGCAAATGTATATATCCAGGCCTTAAATCGTTCTTACCACATTAGGGCGTCCTCCGTGGGTAATCCAAAGAATGCCTCCATTTCTCAGATTGGAAGACATGTTCACAGTACGAGGCCGAAAGGACAAGGGATCGTCATTACACCACCACCTTAGTTCGTTTTGCTACGCTACAGCATAAAGTAACAGATCAGCATGAAGGAGGGCACATGGGGATGCCTACTTCTTGCCTAAATGTCTTACACCCACATTTTACATATATTTTGTCAATGAGGAGGTCCCACATTTCACATATTGTTTTCTCAGTAAGACAATCCAGGGAGTACTGAACATTTTAATATCAATGTGTGATGGCGAGTGTACGTTTGTGAAACTGTATTTGTAATTATGCGGGCTGTATAGGATATGCTTTGACGGTGACCTAAAGGGCACCAAACACGTACAGAAATACGTTACGTTTTGTCAAGTTAACTTCCTACACGCATGAGAACGGACATGTACACAGGCGAATACTGATTATGACGTCATGAAATAAATGACGTCACGCCTATTGTGTTTGTACTTGAGTCAAGGTGAATACGTGAAAGTTTCAGGAGGTGCGATGAAATTCAAATGTCTTCGAACTATTTTGTTTACAGTACGAAAAACCTACTAAAAGAGATAAAGAACATTTTTTCAGGTAACATTCCGGTTTCTTTAGCAAGACTGATGGAAAATACCAAGGCTGACAACGAATCAACTGGCTTGCAGATAGGTATGACTCCGATATATCAACCGGATTGTGAGTATCGATGAGATTGTTATATGTGTATCTGTAGGATATATATATATATATCATCGGATCATATGTTTTCGGACATCATACGTTTTCGGACGGCCATGTTTATCGCGAGTACTGCGCATAAGCGTCCGAAAACCCATAACACGGGTATACGCACGCACGCAGACACATACATAATAGAATGAGCAAATACCATTTCGTGAACGGATAAAGAGCATGGGGTTCGAACTCCCGTTTTGAAATCACATTATGTCCCTAGTGACATTCACTGATTTCTTTTTACCTTTTTGCAGAATTGAAATACAGACGAAGTCGTCAGTGTCACCAGCATATCATTGTCTAACTGATCCCAACCACCCACACACGTCTGAAGAAATCTAAATGTGAATAATTCATCGCGGATTGTTGAAACCATCATTTGAATATGAACTTGTCATCCCAAACTGCACCAAACCACACCCCGCCGTTACAACATCATCCTGGAGCCTTAGATTGTCAGTGGAACATGTACGTAGATAATCAAACCTGCTCGTTTGCAAGCAAACTATCCGTGTGTCTCTGCAAATACAAACGTACATAATTTTGATAGAAACAAGCAACTACTTATAAATTTAAAAGGAGTCCCAGTCAGATGGGAGATTCAGAACCTGAACCTGTGGAAAATCTTGATACTGTTCATGGACTGTGAAACAGCCAGTTCTCAAGCGAAAACAGCAAAACTCCCTGTACCTTTTTTCATTGGCTTGCGCCGCCGTCACTGTGCCAATTTCCGCGAATAGATCCGATCCTAGTTTCAGTGTCAACCTTTAATCATATGGGCAGAATGTCTGCTGTAAACAGTGTTCAGGTGAATTACGGCACAGATTACCGTGGCAACGGCGAAAGAAATGGAATTATACAGGCCCTGCTTACGGGTAAATATATTTTCACAACCCAGGGAAATAAAGCTTATATTTTGGGGCGGTGTCACGTGGAATCAGATTGTTGATGGTTTCTGTAATTTTCGTCCCGGTGCTCGTACTTGCTGCGTGAGATGTAAATGGAGTTTGGATCGCCTGTTGCCAATGAGACTGTCACTAGTATCACAACAGCTACTGACGCGTCATTTGCAATTACTAAACATGGTCATGGAGTGCCTAATAAATCATGCAGGACAATATCCGAAAATTGACAACAAAGACTAGGAAGAAGTGAATAAAATAATGGTTAACTGGAAATTGTCCTGTTTCTAGTTTTACTTTCACTTTCCTTTATTTACACTATAAAAGTAAATTGTACAACACTGGTTAGCTACAAGAAGTCCACATTATAGCCAACGACCCAATATAGTGTGCACATGATTGCGACTCATTTGGGTTTGCTTCTCATAAGATACTATATAGGGATCTAGTAATATACTTATCTGAAAATTATAAGCTTTATGTTTTTAATTTGTCATTTGATTCAATATTTCACTAGATCTATAAGAAATAGCTGTGATATGTTATTTCTCAACAGTTCTGTTAACACGAAAAGTACATGTTTTCTGTAAAATGTCTGTTTTTTTGCATGAATTGTTAATTTGTAATTTTCTTTTATATATTGGAAGCAGGAACACCATGTTGTAAATTTGAAAGTTGCCTAAATATATCAAGAAAACCCTAAGATGGTCTGTCTAGTTGTTACCAAGTTTATATGTTGCAATAATATACAAATAATTTCTCTTGACTAGGTCAGTATGCAGAAACAAGGACCCCTGTGGTGGTCTGACTGGATTGAGGCTGCAGGCCAAGATCCAGGGAGACCCCTGAAGGGATCGGGGCTGAGGGCTCTTGTTTTTGCATATTGGCATATTGAGTAATCATTCATTTTGTCACACCAAAAAACACTTTAAAGTCTATAAAGCATGTAAAGCATCCTCTGTTTCATTACAGTAACCTAGCTGTGAACTGTGAAATGTTAGTACCAGACGTCATCTTGTTTTCTAGCAGAAAGTCAATATTCATCACATGATTGTGTCAATACTGTTCATGTGACAAGTCAGTATTCGGTGTCAGTGTCAGACACATGATTTTGGGCTCTACATTGAAATGTATTGTTTTCGTTACGTGGTAAGGAATTACCCAATGCAATTGCAAGATTCTTAATAGAGGAATAACAATATGAGATGCAGTCCTTGTTTAAGAAACAGCCCAACATGCAGTAACAAGACCAGGACGGTTCAGTGTCCACCACCTGCCCAACATGCAGTAACAAGACCAGGACTGTTCAGTGTCCACCACCTGCCCAACATGCAGTAACTAGACCAGGACGGTTCAGTGTCCACCACCTGCCCTACATGCAGTAACTAGACCAGGACTGTTCAGTGTCCACCACCGGCCCAACATGCAGTAACTAGACTAGGACTGTTCAGTGTCCACCACCTGCCCAACATGCAGTAACTAGACCAGGACTGTTCAGTGTCCACCACCTTCATAACATGCAGTAACTAGACAAGGACGGTTCAGTGTCCACCACCTGCCCAACATGCAGTAACTAGACCAGGACTGTTCAGTGTCCACCACCTGCCCAACATGCAGTAACTAGACCAGGACTGTTCAGTGTCTGCCACCTGCCCAACATGCAGTAACTAGACCAGGACTGTTCAGTGTCCACCACCTGCCCAACATGCAGTAACTAGACCAGGCCTGTTCAGTGTCCACCACCTGCCCAACATGCAGTAACTAGACCAGGACTGTTCAGTGTCCGCCACCTGCCCAACAAGCAGTAACTAGACCAGGACTGTTCAGTGTCCACCAACTGCCCAACAAGCAGTAACTAGACCAGGACTGTTCAGTGTCTGCCACCTGCCCAACAAGCAGTAACTAGACCAGGACTGTTCAGTGTCCGCCACCTGCCCAACATACAGTAACTAGGCCAGGACTGTTCAGTGTCCACCACCTTCATAACATGCAGTAACTAGACCAGGACTGTTCAGTGTCCACCACCTGCCCAACATGCAGTAACTAGACCAGGACTGTTCAGTGTCCACCACCTTCATAACATGCAGTAACTAGACCAGGACTGTTCAGTGTCCACCACCTGCCCAACATGCAGTAACTAGACAAGGACTGTTCAGTGTCCACCACCTGCCAAACATGCAGTAACTAGAGCAGGACGGTTCAGTGTCCACCACCTGCCCAACATGCAGTAACTAGACCAGGACTGTTCAGTGTCCACCACCTGCCCAACATGCAGTAACTAGACCAGGACTGTTCAGTGTCCACCACCTGCCCAACATGCAGTAACTAGACCAGGACTGTTCAGTGTCCACCACCTGCCCAACATGCAGTAACTAGACCAGGACTGTTCAGTGTCCACCACCTGCCCAACATGCAGTAACTAGACCAGGACGGTTCAGTGTCCACCACCTGCCCAACATGCAGTAACTAGACCAGGACTGTTCAGTGTCCACCACCTGCCCAACATGCAGTAACTAGGCCAGGACTGTTCAGTGTCCACCACCTACATAACATGCAGTAACTAGGCCAGGACTGTTCAGTGTCCACCACCTTCATAACATGCAGTAACTAGACCAGGACGGTTCAGTGTCCACCACCTGCCCAACATGCAGTAACAAGACCAGGACTGTTCAGTGTCCACCACCTGCCCAACATGCAGTAACTAGACCAGGACTGTTCAGTGTCCACCACCTGCCCAACATGCAGTAACTAGACCAGGACTGTTCAGTGTCCACCACCTGCCCAACATGCAGAAACTAGACCAGGACTGTTCAGTGTCCACCACCTCCCCAACATGCAGTAACTAGACAAGGACTGTTCAGTGTCCACCACCTTCATAACATGCAGTAACTAGACCAGGACTGTTCAGTGTCCACCACCTGCCCAACATGCAGTAACTAGACCAGGAATGTTCAGTGTCCACCACCTTCATAACATGCAGTAACTAGACCAGGACTGTTCAGTGTCCACCACCTGCCCAACATGCAGTAACTAGACCAGGACTGTTCAGTGTCCACCACCTGCCCAACATGCAGTAACTAAACCAGGACTGTTCAGTGTCCACCACCTGCCCAACATGCAGTAACTTAGACCAGGACTGTTCAGTGTCCACCACCTGCCCAACATGCAGTAACTAGACAAGGACTGTTCAGTGTCCACCACCTTCATAACATGCAGTAACTAGACCAGGACTGTTCAGTGTCCACCACCTGCCCAACATGCAGTAACTAGACCAGGACTGTTCAGTGTCTACCACCTACATAACATGCAGTAACTAGACCAGGACTGTTCAGTGTCCACCACCTGCCCAACATGCAGTAACAAGACCAGGACTGTTCAGTGTCCACCACCTGCCCAACATGCAGTAACTAGACAAGGACGGTTCAGTGTCCACCACCTGCCCAACATGCAGTAACTAGACCAGGACTGTTCAGTGTCCACCACTGGCCCAACATGCAGTAACTAGGCCAGGACTGTTCAGTGTCCACCACCTTCATAACATGCAGTAACTAGACCAGGCCTGTTCAGTGTCCACCACCTGCCCAACATGCAGTAACTAGGCCAGGACTGTTCAGTGTCCACCACCTGCCCAACATGCAGTAACTAGACCAGGACTGTTCAGTGTCCACCACCTGCCCAACATGCAGTAACTAGACCAGGACTGTTCAGTGTCCACCACCTGCCCAACATGCAGTAACTAGACCAGGACTGTTCAGTGTCCACCACCTGCCCAACATGCAGTAACTAGACCAGGACTGTTCAGTGTCCACCACCTGCCCAACATGCAGTAACTAGACCAGGCCTGTTCAGTGTCCACCACCTGCCCAACATGCAGTAACTAGACAAGGACTGTTCAGTGTCCACCACCTTCATAACATGCAGTAACTAGACCAGGACTGTTCAGTGTCCACCACCTTCATAACATGCAGTAACTAGACCAGGACTGTTCAGTGTCCACCACCTGCCCAACATGCAGTAACTAAACAAGGACTG